TGGCCCGTCCACACGCTCTGGGTATAAGGCAGCGAGTAGGACGGCGTCTGCCGGTAGGACGGCGGTTGCGACCGTGGCTGCGGCTGCGGCATGTACTGCTGCTGAGGTGGCATCCATGCACGAGTGTAGGGCGGCGGGGGATTCGCGTACACCCAGGGTCCGGCGTTGTAGTAGTCGGGCGTGTTGGGACCACTGGGGGGTGCCGATGGGGGAGAATACTCGGACGCGGCGGGATTCAGCCATGCGTTCTCGTACGAGGCACTCCGCTGATACTGCGGCGGGATAGGACCCTCTGGGGGACAGGAGAGGCTTGGGCACCGCGTGCTGCCTGGCAATGTTGGTGTCGAGCGGAGCCAGTTTCTGGCGGGCCTCATTGCCTCTGCCGGCCATTTTGGCGCGATAGTTTTCCCAGTGGGACAACCACACCGCAAAACCATCCTGCGGGTTGTGGATGCGCTCGTGGATCTTCCACTCAAAGGCGAAGAGCCAGTCCAGTTCCATGGAATTCAGCTCCGCGACGGGGATGTTGCTGACCTCGGCCCAGGACCGATTCTGGAAGGTGTTGTCGTCGAGGAATTTACTTCCCAGAAGGAGGGCGGTCGTCAGCATCCGGTACACTTGACCACTGCCGGTCAGGTAGACGCCCGCCGCCGAGAGCATGCGCATCCTGGTCGCGAGGTAGAACAGACCCAGCAGAATGGTGGAACTTGGGAGGCGGGTAGAAGACAAGATCTGGTGCACGTATTTCCGGAACTGCGGCGGCACTGGCGTTCCTGGGTAGACGCTTCGAGCGAAGTCAATATCTGCAAGGTTGATCTTGGTGATGTACAAAGCATACATTCCCTGGGCCATTTCTGCCACGAAGTCCGACATCTGGTCCATCTCGTAGTCGAGATAGGCAGCGACACCTCCGGTCGCCTTCTCCTCCTTGGGAGGCTGCTGCTCGGGCTGCACGACCATGTCCTGACGACGGTACTGGGGCGGGATCGCACTGTCCATGGGGGGGAGCTGCACATTGGACCTGATCGGGGGCAACACGGGAGCGGAGGTCATGGGGCCAAACATCGCCTGGGAGACACTCAATTGGGATTGGGCCAAGGGCTGCTGGGTAGGCAGGTCCCGTCCATTTCGCATCTGCGGCATATGCTGGGCGTGCATGTTCACCGGGGCGGGCTTGACGAAGCAGGTCGCCTGGGAGTATTGCTCGATGAATTCACAGCCAGTCTGGGAGTACCGCGGAGGAAAGGCCGACTGTCCGGTGAGGTAGTAGGGCTGGTCATGCTCCATCCTGCTGCTTCCGTGGAGGTGAGGCGGCGTAGGAGGAAGGCCATGCAGGCCAGGGGCGAAGAAGGACGGCATAATGCTCCGGGGGAGCCGGTTCACGACGGGAGGTAGACGGCCAGGAGCTGCACCCGCAGACGCAACAGTCAGTACCTCGTGGCAGGTACGCTTTTTGCAGGGAAAATGTGTCACACAAGGAACAGCCCGTCTCAGGAAAAGAGAATACCGACCGTCTACTCTTCCGCCCTTCCCGAAGCTCGGGGAGCGCTGCTCGACGAGCCGCCGCTCAGCGTTGAGAGAGGATCAAGAACACCCTAACAGGCTGTCATGGAGGGAAGCTCGTCGTTCCAACCACAGCTGCGACTGCCGGAAACTTTTCTTTTGGCTGTTTTTGTCTTTTGTGTGAGAGGGACAGGGACACAGATCGTTGTCGAGCGATCCCGGTCGATACACGATAAGTGGCAATCTAATGACCGTCAAATATTTTTTTTCGGTCGCTCAAGGACAAACACAGCACCGAAAAAGCGGTGGGCTGTCGTCAGGACGACGAGGACGAGAAGGAAGGGGAAAAAAAAAACCACCCCGATTCCTCGCAGAAACCTCCAGGCGAGTGACGAGAGCCACTCAGCGACAACGACACTTAATGAAAAGCTCGTTGGGGGGGAGAGATGGAGCCGAACGAAGAGGTTCGCAGGAGGGAGGGAGCCGGAGGCGAGGCGAGGGCGGAGGGAAGGAGGAGGATGGAGGAGAGGGAGAAGAAGAGAAGAGAGATGGTGGTGAAGGTGAGGACGCTGGCTGGCGGTGGACGGTCAGGAGGGCAACGGGCACGCTGCTGGGGCTGGGCTGGCCTAGCGAGCGGCGAGCAGCCTGTCCGCGGCTCCCGTCGGCCCACCGGCCACAGCGAACAGGCCGCACATTCACTGCCTGCCCCAGCTGACTGGCTCGCGCGACGGGTCGCCCGTCTCAGGCACGGCCATAACGCACGACGGCGCCGGAGCTCGCGGGCAGAAGAAAATTATTCTGATCACAGTCGGTGGCCTCGCAGGCTGTGGGGTCTCTCGTGGGCAGCAGTCACTGCCAAGTCACCGCCTCCGCCTCCGTCGCCATGGTGAGGGCCTACCAGGCGCCTCGACCATTTTGTCAGCCGGCAAGAGGCGACAGAAACAGAAACACGCCTGGGAGTGATGCAAAGCCGCTGTCACAGCTTACATGACAGTGTCTATTGACCTGTGACCCAGCCTCGCAGAATGCAGATTACAAGACGGTCGCCTGGTTACGGAGTACGCATCCGTAACCACGACACTACCAACACGCTAATAATCTGCAGCTGCGGCCAAGTAATAATAATAAGAAAATTCTGGGCGGTAGGGCCCTTCCTTCCACCACGCCGTTCTCGGCTTAGTTGACCGCGTCAAAGGCGAAAAAAAAATTTCAAAGTTTGCAAGCTGCAACCCCGAACGGCCAGCTTCGTCCCGGTTTACTAAGACTACCTCATCGACTCCAAGCTGGCCATGATTACTCAGCCTGAGCGCCCCAATTGAGCGAGTTGACAATTCCTCGTCGCAGTTGCCACAGCTCGAGATGAGCTCACAGCATCAGGAGGATGCCTGCAAGGAGAACGGGGAAGATTGAGCGTTGCCCCGGGTTCTGTCGGAGAAAATTCGTCGATTCGTTCCATTCTTGGTTGTTGGTACGGAGCACAGATGGAAGAGGGGGGGGTTGGGGACATCCACCAAGCGTTGTGCTCCTTGGGGCAGTGCGCCCCGGAATGGGCGACTGCCGATCTATAAGCAGGGCTGCTGCACGGCGAGGTTGCTATGGAGGGCCGTTGTTGGCCCCATAAGACACCGCTGAGACCCAGTCATCACCGTTCTATATTAAGAGCCAGCTCGACACTCCTACCAGGGACGCGAAGCGAGGTGTCAGATGAGTTGAGAAGGCAGCAGTACTCCGTACTCCGTAAGGTCCTGAGCCACGCGCCTCCTCTCGTGAACGCCTCAGACGCGCCTGACTCCTTGCTGCTTGTCATGGGAATTATTGGCCTAAGCAATTACAGGAGTCGTCTGCCGATTACGGTACACCAGTACGGAGGAGACTCAGGACCATCACGGTTTCGGGAGTCTGATCGCAGATGGATCTGTCCGGCTGCTTCCGATCTGTCATAAAAGAGATTAATATTACCCAGTTGACTATCTAGATACGGGGAACGACCAGAGTCATGACACGGAGTACTCCGTACGCAACTAGTAAGGCCATGCCAGAAGCAAGAATTTGCCGTTGCCGCTGGTAACAAGTTCGAGAGGCGAGGCGAGGCACTTGCTCCACCCTTGCCGCTTGCCACGAGGAATCATCAGCACGATGCTGATTTGATTTGCCCAGCAGCCCAAGGGTTTCGCCCTAGCCAGGAATCCAAGTCGTCAGTGTCGGCAGACTTGACCCCTGGAGACGGGCCAAGACTCACGGAAAAAGGTCTTGGGCCGCCTTGCGTGGTGGCAGGTCTGGGCGATGCCGCAGATGTCAGTCACTACAGTCTAGCACGGAGAACGGAGAACGGAGGAGATTATCTCCTTTCTCCGTGATCGAAGCCGATGACTGAGAAGCGTGGCAAATAAATCAGGACACGAACTGTTGCACCGTGCACGTTGTCCAGTCGGACTCCTCTATCGATAATATACAGAGTACAGTACTGTACAATTCATCGATAGATGCACTTGCAGCTACCAGACCAGGCTAGCTCAAACGTTCAGGCCGCACGAAGACATAACAGTGCTTGCTACTTTTGTTGTCTGTCGAGGCTGATTGAAATCATACAACCTCTTTTACACCAAAGTCTTGACAGGCCCAGACTGGCCTCGAGAGTACGGAGTAGAATAGTGCCGGTGGAGAAGCGTGGGATGACAGCCTCTTGTTGCGTCATAAGTATATCCTTCTGGACTTTGGTCGCTGACATGTCTGCCCAACAGGAACGGTTCACGTATGTATGCACCTGTGCCTAGGTAGCAATTTAGTTCCATGTCAAACTGTTCGTCCGATATAGGCTGCGAGGGGAGAGTTTGTCCACCCCGCCTTGCCCTCTCTCTACTCCGTACTCTCTCTGGCTTTCTGAATCAGGAAGGCGGGGGAACACAGACTGACAATGATGGTTAATATTTGAATATCCCACGATGCATGGATGAGTTGGATTGAATTAATTCATTGGATCCTCTGACTGTTGAGTCATTCTGACGAGACGATATTTTTACAGGATAATAGCTGTAGTCATTAATACCCCTCCCATAGGGTACTAGGTATACTGTTAGGTAGGATCGTTAACTAGGAAGGAGGGGCATTCTGCATGTACATATGCAAGTATGTACAGTACGTATGTACGCATGTACGCAATAATATCAATGCATGCATCTCTTCCTTTTCTTTCTACTACTACTTGCAACCTCTTTCTCTCTTCCGATAATGGCCGAGCTTCATCGTTTTTTACCCCGCTGTGGGGATTGGGTTGGATCTTTATCGATTCGATTTTGATTTTTACCCCTCCTGCCTACCTAGGTAAGCATGAGCATGAACGTGAATACCTAATGACCTGCATGATGATGATGACGATGATGATCATCATCATCATCATGCTATGTTGGCTCCTCTTAACTAATAGTGTAAAGACCGGAACGGGTTGATTGAATCATCCACTTTGCTTGCTTCGTTCCATGCTTCCCAATTCTATCCAACTACATATGTTCTTTTCCTTCCCGGATCCGGGTTTTCTTTTCGATTTTTATATTACAGGCATGATGTCATTAGTTAAAAAGAAAAAAATAGACAAAGTCTTAGTAGAGCACTCACTGCAGGTAATGTAACTATGCAAACTACCTATAACCCGTGAGTTCGTACTCGAGACAAGAAAGAAAGAACGAGACGGACGAACGAAAGGGTTCTAGGAGATGGAAGCCAGTCATAGAAATTGGGCTTATGAGATATCAGCCCATTATTCCCTCGTCTTTTTTTCTTTTTTTTCTTATATATATTGTCTGCGTTGGCAATATTCTCTCTGTCTTTCTAACTAACAACAAGTAGGCACCTAGGGCAGGTAGGTAGGTAGGTAAGTACACACCTTAGGAACCAAAGGGGATGGATGGATGGATCAGAACAATGCTCTCTTTCTTTTTCTTCTCATGATACCACCTGTAAGGCATCAACGTTGATGTTCGGTTAATAAAGCCCTATGCCATAGACAAATATATATATATATGAGGCCAGAATATCACTATATTTAGCCCTGCTTGTCTTCATAGGCTTGGTTAACCAACTACACCTCCTCGTGTACTGCATGTATGATGTATTGTATGTATGTACTGTCTGCATAGAGAGCCTGCTACATGTTAGATTGCCTACCTATATCTGTACAGTACATAGGAGAGGACTCTTCGGGTGCTGACAGACGTTTCTCTCTTTCCAGGGAACGGTGCAGGTACCTTACCTTATTTATCTACCTTAGTTTGTCTAAGCTAGGTACCTAAGCTATCTAGAAAGGTTGGAGTGTGTGCTTATATTTATTTTTAGTCTATTAAGGATCCTCAATTTAAACTATAAATAGCTATATACAAGAATCCAAGCCAGGAGAAAGAAAAAAAAAGAAGAAAAGTCTATCCTCTAGTAAGAGCAAACAAGAAGTGCAAACAGGGTTAAGTCCCGTTTATATAAAAGTAAGGGATAGGGGGGAGGGGGGTTCCCGTGCAGACCGTTATATATATATATTGCTTCGCTGCGCTTCGCAAATTATTCATCAGGAACGGGTGGGCCAGGGACCCTATTATAAATATAGACCTCCATACTGCTAAATGTGTCCAGTAGCCCATAGAAACCCTGTGCCATTGGAAGGTGATCAAATTATGGTGGAATTGACGATTGTATAAGGCAGCCGAAAGGTGGTTAGAGTGGGCAGTAGTACAGCAGTGGCACTATGACATGGTAGACATAGATATGGCTACCAAATGTGGCCAGTAGCCAGCCCATGGAAACCCCGTGCAACGAAACCCTGTGCAAATTGGAAGGTGATCAAATTATGATGGAATCGACAATCTGTATGATTGGAAGCTACCTCCGGAGAGGTAGCCCCCTCCAAAAAAAGAAAGAGGCGATCAGAGTGGGTAGTATGGGCCAGTGGCACTATTGACATGAAGGGCATAAATGAATAAATAAATAAATAAAAAATGGACACAAAGATATTGTTGCACTCATTAAATAAATTGATTAAATACTAGACTGCTTCCTGATCCTATTATTGCAAAAAGTTCTGGAGTATACTACACCATGCCAGCAAACAAAGATCGTCTCTATGTTGCCTTGTACGTTCGTGGAGGCGCGCCTACAATGCCAGGACTAGAAGATACGCATGACTGCCTGATCAGCACCAGCTAATTTCATAGTGCCTGAAGTGTTCCAGCTTGCAGAAGAGGTAACAGCAGTCTGAGCACCCTTGTTAAAGCGGCGGTACCTCGAAAAGGAAATTTTTGGAGCCGTCGCAGAAAAGTGTTCTGTACAGTACATCTACGTACCACGCAGGATCACCTCTTACTTATTACAGCACTGGGCCTATTGTATCATTCTTTTCCCCCTATTTATCATACCATGGAAGAGAGTCAGGAAACATGACAGATTAGGCTAGCTGGATATGACTGGTGCCAGCGAGGAAGCAGGTCCAGATCCAGATCCAGATCTATGGAAAGACAACAGATTTTTTTTTGGAGCATTAAGGAAGAGTTACTGATGGATTGATATCATCAAAGTGCACTTTTGAGAGTTAAAGAAGAAGAAGAAAACAAAGAAGAAAGAAAAGAAAAAAAAACCAGCTCGCAAGCTCGCAGAAAAAAGCATTTATTCCCTACAATGTGAACTCCCCTCGCGCCTGGATAGAAACAAAGAGAACAACCCTCCCCGATTCCGGAATCCGTTTTGATCAAATACAACCATAGAAGAGAAAGAAGCACAGAAACAAAGGCATGTCTGATCCCGAATAATGTTGCACCCCCCTTTCCACCACTCCGTCACTCCTTGGACGGCCGGACGATCTTGAATCATATCATGGATACCACGCGTAGCTCTTCAAAGCCGAGCATCTCAAGGTGTCCGTGGCTTCCGTCCGCCACTTGGACTTCCATGCCCATTCCCGGGTGGCGGCCTCGACGAGTGCATCCTTGCATTCAGGCGGCAGCTCTGCAAGCACATCCGGACTCATAAACTCCGGATGTTGAGGATCGGCCATGCTGATGACTCCGTTGCTGCCGATGTCGTGCACATCGCCATCCGGTCCGGGGACGCCAAAAGTGCTCGACTCGGCCGTTTCGTAGCAGATATCCGTAATGGCGAAGCGGCGGGAGAAGATCGAAGGGACTGGAGGGAAAATAGTCGAATCGCTCGTAGAAGGGCGCTCAGGTTTCTCAGCACGTGCTGTCTCGTCCTTCTCGGAAGTTCCATTCGTCAAACGCAACGAGGACATGCCTTCCATGAGTTTGGCCGAATGTCCGGGATCGGGAGGCGGCACCCGCTCCCAGCGAGCATGGGAAGGCTGCATGATCTTGGGATAGTGCATGAAATTCGTGTGCACATCGTACACGCCCTCGAGATTCTCGCGACGAGCACTGAGAATCGCCGAGTTGAAACGGCTGAAGGTGCCCTGTCAGCGACATGATTTATCCTACGAAAGAAATTCATGACTCACCTTGCTTCCCTTGCATGTTCAATCATCCAGTTGTCGCCCGTCACGGTCACCTTGCGCTTCTTCGCATCCACCTTGCCATTTGGCAACGGAACAGAAGGTGCTCCAGTATGGTAGACTGCACTTGCACCATGCCAAGCCACATACTGGTTCTTGTTGTATGGCTCTCCAGGAGGGGGCAGCTTATCTTCCGGTACCGCGAGTTCACCTTCGACGTCTCCCCGTTCCCGCGCCGCCTTGACATTGTAATCATCTATGATTTTGCGGCCACCGATGACGATCTTGGCGCCAAACTCCCGGAAAACGGATCGTGCAGTAACGACACCGATCGCGCGGCCCTTGTATGAATGGGGAATGATCTCTCTCTCAATCAAATCCCGCTTGGCTTCGTCGTCGATGATGATTTTGTAGAGCAGCCGGTGCTTTTGGAAGAAGAGATACGAATCTCGGAATCCGATGCAACGCGCTGGTTCGGTCGACAACATGTACTGCCGCTCACCTCGGCCGAGAATCGTGAACGTGCGGACCCGGTATTCTCTGCCTCCCAGTAGATTTCCATTTTTTGTCCACCTTCGTCTCTCCTTCGGGATCCTCTGGCAGGACAACCTCATCGTCAACCACATCCATCATAGTCCCGTCCTTATCCACCTGGACCTGCGTGACATGTGACCCTCCTCTGTTGCGCGCCCATCGTCCACCGCTGGCGGCCGGCCGCCCCCGTCTTCTTTTCACAGGGGTACTGACGCTGATCTGCCGTTCAGACGTTCCCTCATCTTGTGTGTCCCAATCCGGAGGTCGATTTTTGGGCGGACGGCCAATTCGACGTTTGCGAGGGATGGCAGATGTCCGGCCACCACTGCGTTGGGGCGTGTTTGACTGCGAAGGCGCATCGGATTCCTGGGCTGGCGTTGCAGCTGCTTCTTCCTCCTGATCCGCCTCTGGTTGAGGCTCGGCCTGAGGGTCCTCTTCCGCAGCATCGCCCTCGTTCGCTGAGGCGCTGGACTCCCTGGTAGGGGGAGCATCGGCCATCTCTTCGTCCTCATCGGGTAAGCTTGGGGGAGCCGTTCCTGTGCAGAGGTCAGTTTGCCTCCCGCGCCGTCGCGACTACAAAAGAAAAAAGCAAAACAGCACGGGAACACGTACGCATTGACTGTGCAGCTGCCTGAGCAGCCGCCCTCTGCTTCCTTGCCATCTTAGAGTCGGTTAGTCATAAGAGGAGAATAAAGCGCAGCTTGTTCTTACAGCACCTTGACAGCAGCACCTGGACTCCTGGCGCGAGTCGCGAGGCGTTCCGGGTCTACTTTTCGCCGCAGCCTTGCCATATCACGTGACCTAACATGGATGCCAAGCATTCGTTACTTGTTACGGATTAGTGGATTCGACAGCCCAGCCCTCAGCCCTGAGCCCTGAGCCCTAAGCCCTGCTGAGATCCGAGCGAGATCTGAAAGTTAAGTCTGCTCCGTATGTTTCCGCGCGTCGGGAGGCTGCCTGTCGTCGAGGGCAAAGCAGGAAGCCGATCCATGTCACTGGTCGCCGCGTCGATGCGCTTTACGTCACTGCCCCCTGGTCATCATTCTTTGAGATCGCCTGGATTGGATGGGATTTTGCTGCTGGTCCCCTTTTCACCGAGACACTCTTACTCATCGAGGTCTCAGGGCTTCGAATGCAGCTGATTGTCTTTGAGCTGCAGAGGCGATGCATTTCAACCACAGCCGCAGACGCTCTTGAGTCATTTTTGCTGCACACAGCGCGTTCCTATCGTCACATTACGGAGTAATCATAATCGCTTCACCGGAGATCCACTCCCACCTTTGAACCTACCAGGGCCTAAAGGCGGCCGTCCAGCCAAAAAAGGCAGATGCCGTTAATCCCAAATTAGCCAACTCCAGCTGCAACCGCAGCGAACGGAGGTGGTAGGAGTACGTAGCCAATTAATAGCTCGCGCCATCACATGCAAAATTCCTAGCAGGGTTTCCTATCGCCTCGACATACCCAACATGCTTTAAGATACCAGCACAAAGAAGCTTTCCTTCCGTACGAAGATGCGCGTTGATGAGTTCTTTTCCAACTGGTCTTTTTGCCCACAGGGGCCTCTATTCCGTATCCATGCATCCTAGCTATTCAAACAAAGCGATCGCTGTCTCAGCCCCGGTAATTTTAACTGCAGGTTGGCCTTACCACCTGTAAATTACGTCGTGTACTCCGTCGGTACAGTACAGCCCAGAGTTTCCCTTCAGGGATGTAAATCCCCCAACTTAAGGTGGTCAGTCGATACGGTAGCGAGCATATCTTATACGGGCATCTGAGCATCAACGCTTAACTCTACGCCCTGCAGATAGTCAGATGGACTGGGACACATCTGACCGTCTGCTGCCATCGGATGACCCTGACGTGCGACCATCCTAATTTGACTTAATGGGGGTCGAGTCTCAAATGAGAAGCTGCCCATACCATTTGACCCTTCCTCAGCTTGTTTACCAAAGCTGGCTCATATGCAATTTCAACTGGATGAAGCAGGAGTGAGATGCAGCGATAGCGGTGCGTCATGGCATCGTACATGGCAGTTGGAGGCATTTACTAATCCTACTGCCATTATGAGACAGTGATGCACCGTGGAGGGGATCGTGGATGCTTGGAAGCGGTTCCCTGAGCGCTGAAGAGCGCCTGACCGCAGTAAAGTCCAGTATCATCGTATTCTGACCTCAGACGAAAGAGTATCATCTGATGCATCGGGCTAAATGATTTTGCCTTGGAAGAGCTTCATTATCCTGGAAGCTGAGATAGGCGGTCAGAACGCTTCGCAGTATGCGTCCAGGATCATATAGCTGAATCCGACCATGATTCCACTAAAGCAATTCGTTTTTTTTTCAACCCTTCAAGAATGGTGGTCGAGGATCTGATGGACGGTTGGGGGGTGATGCGAATAGCACCAAATTTGTTGGCCTTTGGGGCGAAAGCATAACTTGCCATAGTCTTGCTTTAGTCTCCCAGATGACTGCTGTAAACAAAGGATCACATACAAGATAGGCAGATACGGCTCATTCACGTCGATGAAGATGCCGAACACGACCCCACCTGGTGAGGGGAGCTCGGAGGCGCTATCGACGCTATGTTGGAGAAACAGCATTAAGAACGACGCCCGCAGCATCTAAAATACCTTAAACCCCTCGATACCAATAGTTAAGACTGGCGTTGCAGGCCCAAAATGAGAGGCGGGTGGAAGATTGGCCTGCCACCACAAGAATGGCGCAAAGAAACGCGCATAGCAGCAGCGGTGGCGGCGGAGGGGAGCTGGTCTTGTCATGCTGTACATAAGCGGTAATTATTCCACGCCATAACAGATCTCTTCCGCAAGACGGTGGGCAATGAGTCACGTCCAGTGCCATTCCCCTCAGTGTAAACGCTGAGTATTGGCGCTTCGTATTTTATTCTCAGCTTGTCGTCCCAAGCCCCTCGTGCGCATACCTCGCTGCAGCGCGCCAGTGGAAAAACATCGGACTGGTGCGCCCCGTCGCAGGCTCCATCGTCGGGGACCATCATCTCCACTGGCCGGCGGGTTTTTGCCTCCTGTCGCGGACATGGAGGATTAATATTACCGTTCGGAGCGACCTGTTCGTCTCGCCCACTTTGCCTCTTTGCCCAACACAAATCCCTGCCGGCCACGTTCTTCTCGCCTTTCTGCCTCGTCGTTCTCATTCTTCTTCTCGTTGTTTGGTTGTCTTGTTGAAACAGCTCGTTTCGCGAACGAGTCCGAGTCCGCCGCTTCGACCGGGGCTGCCCGAGGCCAGGCATTGCTCAGCCGGGACAAGTCCCGGGCTCAGTCTACGCTAGGCTTAGGCTTGCCCAAACCGCACGCGAAGACCACCACCACCGTCGCTGCTGCTATCCGCTTCCTACTCGATCCCCCAAGCTTCCGTGCGCCCAAGACCTGTGATCCCAGCATCCCAACAGCAGTCTTTGTGCTTCCTCCCGTCCCGACAGTATCGTCGTCTCCTCGTGCCGCTCTCCGTCGTCCCCCGGCGCATCCCCGTCGTGCCTGAAGAGGGCCAGACCCGCCCCCGACCTTGCAGCGCAGCGATCATCCCGCATCTCTAGGTCATCATTACCAGCGTGGGTACAAGTCCAGCGTTCTCCGCTTCTCCTCCCACCACCACAATCCCCAACTCCCATACCTTGTTTCGCCTCCGCCGTTCAACCTTCCAACCGCTGGTCTGAGAGGGGGTTCGCGTCGACGTTAGGAGCTGTTGGAGGAATATTTGTCGGATGGGAAAGCACCCATGGCTGCACCAGGTGGAGTCAACCCGCATGCAGATGCGGACCTGACGAGGCAGTCCATGCTCCAGAAGTGAGTCCTGCTTCCCATGTCATTGCACGCTTCATCAACGTGTCAATGCCGGGTTTCACCTTGGTCGTGGTACTCTGGCTGCTTGGTCCCTTGGAGACGATCTGAACCAAAAAAAGAAAAAATTTTCCCTATTTTTCTCTGGCTTACCCTTTGCCCTATTTACCTTGATGAGTGTGCAAACCAAGTCATGGCGACATCTGTTTTTGGACTTCCTCTCAATGTGGACTGTTTTTGCTCCTGTGGCCTCTCTCTTCCCCCAAGGACTCTGGATGGCGTCTCATCTGGTAGATCTGAGGCCAGAGATCTTCTGATATCTGTGCTCCACATTGACCTGGATGAAGTCCATCAATCGCATGCTCAGATGTTATCCTGAGACTTGGGCCCTCTGTCGCATGCAGTTACTAATCTACATTGATACCTCGTCGCCCGAGATCGCGGCTCCAAATCGTGTTTGGTGATTTCGTTAACTGGGTCAGAGCTGACAAATGAGCAGCACGGGTGCGCAGGAGGATGAGATCCAAGATCAGATTGGCTCCAATGGCTCGACTCCATCTGGGATGGCTACTCCACAGCCAGATCCTGCAGACAAACGTCTTCCGTCAATAATGCACTACTTCTCTCAGGTTGGTGGCCCCTCTGGTTTTTCGCTTTCCCGTAAAGCACGGTCATCTACCTCCATGACACCTGCCGCGGTGGATAGTGCCCAGTCGACTGCCCGCGTTGCACGACGCAACGAGGGCGATGCCTCTGGGCATACTTCCTTACCGTCTGGCGCAATTGCTACAGGAGAGCGCGAGCAGTCGCTGGATGCCAAGGCGCCTGCTCTGCCCGCTGCCGGAAGCAGTGAGAAGCCAGAAAGCGAGGGATCGCTGGAGACTTTGAATCCCAGCTCCCTGCCTACTCCCCCTGACTCATCTGCGTGTTCTTTGTCCCAGAAAGAGGCGGAGGAGACGGAAACGAGTGCCTCTGGTGCAGAAAAGACGGTGGTGTCCATCTATTCTGCGCTGAAGAACTATCTTTCTTCTTCGTCGTCAGGAAGTTCCTCTGATTCTCATTCCTCACGCCGTCCTACATCCCATCCAGTTTCCAGCGTCTCAGACGACCCCGTTCTTGCTTCTCACTTCTCCAACCCATCCCTTCCTGAAGCGTCAGAAATTCCATCTCCACCAGCGGCTCCCCTGTTGGAACATGAAAAGCCTCAGCACGTTTCCAACTCTTCTGAAAACCTTGCCAAGCTAACTGAGAACGCGGTTAACGCTTCGCGTCTAAAGAATACGCCGCCGCTGACTCCACGTGCCATGTCGAATGAGAACGCGCAATCGGAGAAGCAGCCGGGTGACTCGAAACCCGGTTCGTCCGGTTCATCGAATCAACGTCCGAACAATAAAGAAGAACTGACAGGGAAACTCAATGAAGCGTTCCCAACGCAGTCCCAAGGGGGACAGGAGGGACCTGCGGTTGCATCATTGAAAGGAAAGCTTTCGGTGAGAATATCCCAGGCCAGGGGTCTGCGGCCCAGTGTCGATCCCTATGTGGTTTGCGTGTTCGAGTGGAACGAGTACATCTCCAGGGGCGCGCAGAGCGGAGACCGGACACCTGAAACCAAGAAAAGCCAAAAGGAGTGGTCTGATAGTGACTCCGGACGGCCCATGGCCATACCTATGAAGAGCCGGCAGAGTAGTCACAACAGTCAACTGGACAGTCACGATCCAAAGGGCAGGGTTCCGATCACAGATCCTCAGTGGAATCACGAAGCGGTCTTGTACGCATCTGCGCCCTTAAAAAAGAAATGAGTTAAGACAAAAGACCTGCTAATCTGATTGATAGTGACGTTCTTGGCGATCAGTCCGAGATCGATGTCTCTGTTTACGACCGTTACAACCAGGAGGCTTTTCTCGGCCATGTCCGGTTGAGTCTCAATCTGAAACAAGACAACTCTCATTTGGAGGGCTGGTTCCCTCTGATGGCTCGAGGAGCCGGTGACAACCAGGTGTCTGGAGAAATCCACCTGGAGATACACTTCCAGAAGACCGAGAGGAAACACGTTGGGCCAAACGATTTCCAGATTCTTAAGCTCATAGGCAAAGGTACATTCGGCCAGGTTTATCAGGTAAAGAAGAAGGACACGCAACGTATCTACGCGATGAAGGTCCTGTCGAAGAAGGTCATCATACAGAAGAAAGAAGTTGCGCACACCTTGGGAGAGCGGAATATTCTTGTCCGGACCGCCATGTCAGCTTCTCCCTTCATCGTCGGGCTCAAGTTTTCCTTCCAGACACCAACGGATCTTTACCTGGTCACAGACTACATGTCTGGTGGCGAGCTCTTCTGGCATTTGCAGAAGGAGGGCCGCTTTCAAGAGGCGCGGGCCAAGTTTTACATTGCAGAGCTGATCCTTGCGCTGCAGCATCTCCATGATCATGACATCGTCTATCGCGATCTCAAGCCGGAAAATATCTTGCTGGATGCTAATGGCCATATTGCCCTTTGTGATTTTGGCTTGTCCAAAGCCAATCTCACGAAGAATGACACGACCAACACGTTCTGCGGTACCACCGAGTACCTCGCTCCCGAGGTCCTGTTGGATGAGCAAGGGTATACGAAAATGGTGGATTTCTGGTCTCTCGGTGTTCTTGTCTTCGAGATGTGTTGTGGTTGGAGTCCATTCTACGCCGAAGACACGCAACAGATGTACAAGAACATCGCCTTTGGCAAAGTCCGCTTTCCCCGAGACGCCCTCAGCGCGGAAGGACGGAATTTTGTGAAAGGGTTGCTCAACCGAAATCCGAAGCATCGGCTGGGTGCCAAGGATGATGCGAGGGAACTTATGGCACATCCATTCTTCAGCGACATCGATTGGGACGCATTGGCCCGTAAAGAAGTCATTCCTCCTTTCAAGCCAAAGTTGAAGTCGGACACCGACACATCGAATTTCGACCCGGAATTCACCACGGCTCTGGATCACTCGACCTCTCTGAATGACCGTGCTGCTGCATTGGCAAATGGGGCGATGCCTGCGTCAACGCCTCTGTCGCCTGGCATGCAGGCCAACTTCAAGGGATTCACCTTCGTAAATGAGAGTTCGATGGACCAACACTTCAAGGACAGCCAAGTTGACCGCATGGATGAAGACATGAAAGATGATGACTCCTGGCATCGATCTCAACGATCTATTGATTCTACGGATCATCGCATGAGCGGTGTAATCAGGACCGGAGAGGGCGAGGGTGGTGTGTTCAATAATTTTGACATTTGATTTCATGCTTTTTTTTCCCCTTTAGCACGGTCATGAGGAGTCTTTCTTGCATATACTCGGTTGTTGTGCATTCTTTGAGAAGGGGGGGGGTGGATGAATTTTGAATGAACGTTAAGAAATGTCTTCATTTCCATACAAACGTCCATGATTATTTTTTCCCCGGGGTGAGAAAATTTTCTTTTCTCCTGTTTCTCTCCTTTTTTTTTATCTTTTGCTTTTACTTTCTGGCTCTTTATCTTTTCATTCGCTTCCTTAGGCATGGGCTTATGCACGAGGAGTACCAAAAGTTTACACCCCTTGTTTTTCTTTATTATCTGTTATTCTCGGTAGAATTCTCTTTCCGAGGCCTGGTGGAAGGCATTTTTCTTGTCATTTGATGAGATTCCTGCTGGTTACCAGGGTCTGATGTCTTTGCCTTTTGCACTTCTGTCCCGGTTTCCAATCGGATCTCTCATGTGCATGTGGTATATTATCTCTGTGACTCGGCCGAAGCATGCTTGCATTTCACGTACCGAAATGATCATATCTTTGCAGCAGACAGACTCCCATGCAATTATCTTCGTGTGCTTTCTTCTTTCGACACCGCGTGCGGAGGACTTACGATTTACGAACCGTTCGCCATAAGAAACGACGTGAAGCCTGTGGGCTTCACTGGTTCCGTCTTTTGATTTATTTATTGCAAGCTTGGCCGCTGCTGTTTACTCGATTAATCGACCGAGAAGGCGAGCTTCTGATACTCGTCCTGTCCCTTTCCCCCTCAACTTCATATCCTGCAAAATCAAACGCAGATGCGGATGCATCGCTAGATAGTACAGGACAATCGACAGGGGAAAAATGAACTAACGGCAGAAACGCCGAATTGTTTTGAAATGATCTTGTCAGTCTTGAAATAGACTAGACATTGGCAATCATCGACATAGTCCCGTCCAAGTACCGTAGTTGACTATCAGGTACCAGTGTCTTCCTGGATACGCCAAATCTCCTTGTCAAATAGATAATGCCTATGTATAATATAATTTCTGACTTTGGATGACCAGACCGGCGGAGGAACGTCTTCTGCTGGTTGCTCTGGCTGGGGATTGCCTGGTGGGTGTATTAATAAGCTTGAGTGCTGCATTGGCACTTTCGCCGCTTTTCGCCGCTATAAATATTGACTCCCGGTTGCAGATTTCCAGATCATCCCTACTGTAAAATGTGGTGGGAAACGTGTGCCTAGGCGGTTACGTTAAAACAGATAGAAAAGAAAAAGATAGTACTTACTGTATGTACATATGAAAATTAAGAAGACATACTCTAGATGAACCAGATGCATCGCATAACCTAAACGTCATACCTTACGGACCTATGCCATCATCCTGGTTCAGAATGAAGGTGTACGGATCTGGATAATAGGTATTATTCAGAAGGTCCAGATAGATTATTATATTGAAGTCGAACATACTCCGTAGTGACGTAGTTCTAACGGTGGAGCGTGGACAAGCCCACAATTATTCCGAAGTTCCCTTGTTGCCAAGAACATGTCTCCAGTGATGTGCGCATGGCCACCGGGCGATCGCAATTGCATGCAGCAGCCGGGAGAAACGCCCCCAACTGAACGAGTCGTGCGACGTCAGCCTGCGCCCAATGATATCCGCGAGATCCAGTGATTCTGACTCCGTACCGATTCAACGCACACCTCGCTTGTCAGGATCCGAGATCGGCCGTTTAGAGACCCAGTTCGTTATATCCTCATTATTACTCCGTACTTAGGTTCATATGACTGCCCTTGCCCAAGGGGGCCTTCTGTCCTCCGTAGCGATTCGGGAAAGCAAGCCGCAGCCCCGCCATTGCGTGGCTTGCAGCAACATTCAAGATTCCATCCAGCACGATCTCATCATCTCCAACCAGTGAGCATGGTTATCTGATTTGTCTGATTGTCTGATATAACTACACTGCCCCTTGGAATTGCGTTCTCCCTTGATTATTCAGCGAGGCGGCGCTAACCTAGGATTGAGTCGAACGATTTACAGGTTTGAAACCCCTCGTTCGATGTCCATGCTCCACCTGATCCGGAGTACGGAGCAGCAAAACAGAAGTACTCCGTACTCCGTACCCACGGCGCGTTCTGAAAGGGATCGTCTGACAAATTGTGACAATCGATAAGCTGGATTCACCTGTGGAACTCCTCCATATGGTGCTCTGCTCACGGACGAGGAGTTAATACCTCGTTAGACGTTACCCTCAAAGAAGTGTGGAATAAACGTATCCTGGACAACAATCGGCCTTGTGGAATGACGCGGCCAACCCGATCGAACCGATTCAGGGGAAATTGCCTTCTGCTCGAGTTATATGTCTTATCGCTCTCGACAGACTACGGAGTCTTCCGTAGAAATATAACTACTAATCTCCACAAACTTGAATTTGACCCTTTCTCTGCGACAGAAGTCAAATTTGAGCCGCAGGGGGTTCGGTTTTTTCCAGAATTAGAATAGGACGAAGACTTCCAAAGCCAGACGGGAGTTGCTCCGTACAAAGGTCTGCAAATGTCCCAGCTCTATTCGACTGGGCACACCAACCCTGTTCTCTCACAGCCGGGACGGTCTCAGGCCCCCAGCGCATACACTCCGACGTACGATATATACGCCTGCGGCCTTTATTTAGCATCCGTGGCGGCCGAGGATGCAATCCTGGAAGGACAGACAGGAGGCTGCAGAACGTGCGCCAAGAAAAAAGGGGCCCGGGCCCGAGAACGCGTCCCAAAACAGCCTAGCGCCAGCGTCCCTGACGGATGCCCCACCCGCTGTCCCGCCGCGCCATGCCGGATGCGGCTGCCAGTTCGGCCGGTCTTGCCTTCGCGCTGCGCCGGCGCTGCCAGGGGAAACTAAACCACCGGGCACTGCTCGCTTCCCCTCGCTCCTACGTCTGGCCTTCGCAGAGATTATTATCATGTTAGGAGAAGAATCAAAAGAGGAGTATTCATGGAAGGACGGGCACCGAAGAACAGGGGAAACACGCGCTGGGATGTTTATGACGCCATCACGCGCTCGTCGGGACTCGCTCCTTCCCTCGGAGTCCCGCGTACGGCGTGCACGAGGAGAACGCATACGCGAAACGGCATGGCCGCAGGTCTTGGTTGCCGAACCACCAGGTGGCCATTGCTCCGTGCTGGCCAGTCACCCATGGGCCATGATCTGTGCTGCTGCAACTGCCCTCTCTAACCCCTTGGAGCTTACGTCGATGGTGTCATTATTGCCCGTGGCTGGCTCGCCGCACGAGTTCTCCGCTCTCCTCCACAGCATGGTTGCTCCGTCCTAGCTCAGATCGTCATCCCCTGTGGGGGGATCGGCTGTTCTTAGGACGCCTCATTCCTATTAGCCTTGCTTGCATGTTCCTAAAGCAGTGAAGTACACACACTAACTCGATGACGGGGGTGAGAGACGTTTAGCACGCACCGCTATGATAGCGCCGGACGTGAGAGAGGACTAACCGTTGTCATCTCCTCCATCCACCATCATCTGTAATACAGTCTCTCATTCTCACGTCCCCATACGATCTTTTCTTTTCCTTTGGAGAGAATATCTCCAAGTCCTCTCGTTTTTGTTTTCTTTGGTTCTGTAATTGATTGCTCTTGGAAGTCTTTGGTTCTCTTGCTCTCCCTGTCTCTCTCCCTCTCTTTCCCCCCTCTTTGTCAGCTTTCTATTTTCTGGCAGATGAACGACCACCGAATCTCGTCATGAGTGTTGTCACCAGTCGACCTGAACGGTCCCCAATCGCCTACGAGGCAATCCCCCACCAAAGCCATGTGGTCTCCGACTACAAGCAACCCTACGCCGTGTCAATAGATACCTCTTCATCACGAAGCCCGTCCATCTCGTCATCTTCGAGCAACTACAGCTCCTCAACCGCACCGACCGTCTACTCTCCTACCTCTCCCACCTCTCCCCAATTCTCCTACCGTGCGTTCAAAAACCCCAGCCCGCCTCCAAAGCCCACCGAACCGGCCTCCAAGCGGTTGCCGCCCAAGGTGTACGATTGCATCTTGACCCAACTTCAGTCCTTACATGACGGATTATACCAGTCAGGTTGTGTGACATGTTTCCAGCGAGATCTGCACGCTCTGTCCCTGACCAGCCGGGCTTGGGAAAGGGCCGTCAGGAGTAAGCTGTAAGTACCTGCTTCCCCTTAAAACGTGCAGTCTGCCATGAGATACCGTTCCTGAGAAGAAATCGTCCCCAGGTACAACCGAATCCACATCACTGGAAATGATTCCCCAGCGCAGCTGAAAAAATACCGCCTCAAAAGAGGCAGCCGCTTGAAGCTCTTACGGCGGACCTTGCGGGAGCGGAAGCTGCTGGCCAACCTCGTCCTCGAACTTCGGGTTCCCGAGATGGATATGCCTCCGGTGGTAAATGGCAGGCCGAATCCGCAATGGGAAGAGTATCGCGACCTGGTGGCCTCCGTCGTCATGGTGTGCCCTAACCTCGAACGGCTGGTGGGCTTTGATCTCTCCTACCACCACGAGTTTGACCGCCTCACCTACGCCTTGTCGACGCGAAAGAAGCTCAAGGAGCACAAGTGGATTATTGGTGAGACAGCAGGGACGGCAGCCGAGCGTTTTCGCACTGGGTCTCCGCCCCGGACCCTCGAACAACGCCAGGTGTTTGAGTTCCTGGACTATCATGTCGCGTGGACCAATCTTGAAACCCTGATGCTTCACTCGCTCAACATGAACGGTGTATTGGAGCATGGTGTTTTTCTCCGGATGTTCAACCGTCTCCCGTCGCTTCGGAATTTGTGTGTCTCATCCTTCGATGCGAACGCATTCACGGATCGGACTCTCCTCTTCCTTCCGCCTCTGGAGTCGCTGCGCCTTGAGAATCTCCGTGGGGTCACTGATGCCGGCCTGGCTCAATATGTCTCGCGCCAAGAAGCTCAGGGCCTCAAATCTTTGACTCTCATCGAGCAGAACATCAAGTCCCTTCTCGTGATATCCAAGATCTTGGCCTCTCTGAGACAATTGGAGAGGTTCAACATCGTTCAGCCGAACACCTGTCCCACGCTGCCGCCCGAGAGCATGGTTTTCCAACCGATCTTGGCCTCAGCCAGCCTTAAATACTTACATTGGGATGTTGCCGGCCCGGATTCCGCCAATGCACTCAGCAAACTCGACTCGGCACCCTTTGTCCTGCCACACAAGCCCAGTAATACGCCTAACTTCCACCTAGCCCAGAGCATTCTGAATGCCGGCTTTCCGCGCCTAGGACACCTTCGAGCGCCTTCTGACATCGATCCGCCCGGTGTGTTGCAGTCCGTCTGTCGACCCATACCCAACGGTCAGGCCTTGATCCCGACAGACCGATACAGCCTGCCGAGAAGTTCCCATGGATCTGTCAGCACAAGGCCCTTGGCGTTGCCTAGTGGAAACAACCTGACGTCTGCTCGCATTCGGGCCCAAACGTTCATCGATATGGCCGCAAAGGACACCGAAACTGGGATGAAAGTGGTCATCACCGATTACTCGGACTCGTATGTACCGGACAATGCGCTGGAGTGCCCGTCTGACCAGGAGTCGGATCTGGACGTGGACATGTTTGGCGCACCGGTCCCTGCGGGTACGGCCCAAGAACCCAATCGGTCACAGGATTCCTCGGATGGTCCTGTCAAGATGTACGAGTTCAGAATGCCGGCCATCATGGGGAGAGTGGGCACGACGGTCAACTCGACTGATGTCTCAATACCGCGGTTTGTCCTTCGTCCCGATATTCCCGGATCCGACGCGGACGGTGGAATAATGGGGTGGAAGCACTTGTTGGCTTCAAACCAGTCTCTCTCTTACGCAGCTGGAATTGGGTCCGGACAATCGATCCATCGTACGGGAAGCAGTTTCAGCATGGAGGAGCCTCTATCACCAGTATCTCCGAGCACGTCGCGGTTTGCTGGTTGGAGCGGCTTTGGAGGGCGTTCGGCGATCACAGCCACTCCAGCAACTCCGACGAGTCCTCCAACACCGATGACATTCTCTTCTTCGACACTACCTCCCTGGGCTCGAGACACCTGCAATGGCTCTTGGAACCAGGGACATAAAAACGGCAAAGATTGGTGGTTTCACGTTGAGCGTGAACGCCAAAGCCATTTCGAGATTATTGAAGCAAAGCAGTTCTTCTAAATTTACCAGGCATTTTTCTCCCCAGTCCAACTGTGATTCACTCCTTCCGGCATATACCAACAGTCATCTTTCTTGTTTCCTCTTCTTCTGGTTGCGCATTCACTTTATCGGGTCGTATGGGAGTTGCGAATGGGAAATTTCAACCCATGGCGGTCGGCGTTTGGGGGTATGTCCATGCAATGTTTTTTTTTTCGCAGTACATTCTTTTCTTTTATACCCTTTTCATTCAGTGTGAAGGGACTGTACATGTACATATATTGTTGGGATCTTAGGGTTCTTGCTCTGCCGTTTCTTCCCACAGGCTTGTGATTTTTCCTGTGAATATCATTATACCTAGGGTGGATTACATAGGCTGGTACTTATAATTCTGTTTGTTTTTTTTGTCTGTACGGTTTACATACAATAATTACTGGATATTATTGTGTTTATCAAGGAAGGAAGGGAGTTTTATTCGTTTTTTCGTTTGCCGTCTTTATTTCTGAAAAGTCCTGCACAGGGACAGGTCAATGTTCATCAAAAATCCATCCATCCTTCCTTCCTTTCTTTGCGCACGTACTGTATACATATGGAGATACGTAATAACTTCCCAGAAGCATTTTTTGTATGACGTAGTAACTTATTCCAGCTACGAGGTCCATTACACTATTTATGTGGATGCATCATTATAATGAGACGGATGTTCTGTGGAATCTTCTTAAATGAGTTCTCTCTCTTTATCTAGCATTGATTGATTGATTGACTAATCAATCAATCGATTGATAAGAGTTCCTAAAAGAGTACATGCAGCGAAACCCGCGTTGTAGTAGATGGAGATGCCAAGTAAAACGAAGATGGATGGACATGAGGCAAGAAAGAAAGGGAATGTGGGAAAAAAAATTAAAGAATCAGACGTAGATACCCATGTTCGTGTCCTTCTTCTTGGCCTGCACCTCGGCGATGGCGTCGACGTAGTGCTCGTGTCCGACCTTGTTCATGCCCTTCCGCAGGGCAATCATTCCGGCCTCGACACAGACCGCCTTGAGCATCGCACCGCCGAATTCGTCCGTGCTGCGCGCCAATTCCGCCCAGTTGACGCTGTCGTCCACGGTCATCTTGCGGGAATGGATCTGCAGGATCTGGGCCCGGGCCTCCTCGTTCGGGAGAGGGAACTCGATCTTGCGATCCAGACGGCCTGAACGGAGCAGAGCCGGGTCGAGGACGTCGACACGGTTGGTGGCCGCCAGCACCTTGACGCGGTCGTCCGAAGCGAACCCATCGAGCTGGTTGAGAAGCTCCAACATGGTCCGCTGGACCTCACGGTCACCCGATTTCTCCGAGTCGAATCGTTTCGTGCCCACGGCATCTAACTCGTCAATGAAGATGATGGATGGCGCCTTCTCCTTGGCCAGTGCAAAGCAGTCCCGGACCAGTTTCGCTCCATCACCGATAAACATCTGCACGAGCTGCGGACCGGCGAGTTTGAGGAAGGTTGCATTTGTCTGGGCAGCGCAGGCACGAGCAAGAAGAGTCTTGCCAGTACCAGGGGGGCCGTACATCAAAGCGCCTAAGATCGACGTTAGATACCAAATACGGAAACCATTTGTAGGAAAGAGCGGTGCCTCGAACCTTTTGGCGCTTTGATACCGATCTTCTTAAATTTCTCGGCTTCCTGCATCGGCCATACTACGGCCTCCACAAGCTCTTCGATCTGCTTACTCAAGCCTCCAACATCGGTGTACTTCTCCGTCGGCTTCTCGTCCACTTCCATCGCCTTCACGCGACTGTCATATTCGGCAGGGAGGGTATCCAGAATAAGATAGGAGTCCTTATTCACACCGATGAGATCGCCTGGCTTGAGTTTATTGTGATCGACCAGACCGATAAGGGGAAGGAAGATGGTCTGTCGAGTAGAGGTCTTGATAACGGCAGATTTCCCAACGCGAGTGGCGTCGAGGTCAATGTTGGCGCCTTCCTCAGCTGCCTCTGCCTCGACGTCAAGATCTAACAGTTCAACAACGTTACCGACGAGGTATGGTAGTTGTCTGCCGCACGAGATCATGTTAGTATTAATCAGCCATCCCCGGCCACCGTTCCATCAGCTAGGCTGAAGAACCTGACAGGCCGCGGGGACACACAAAGATAAGATCTACAGTACCTGTTATTTTCGATCTTCTCCTGATTATCCTTGACCTTCTCCTTCATCGTGTTCTGCTCGTGCGTCAACCGCTGGAACTCGCTCTTCATGATTCGGAGCTCGTTTTCCAGCATCCGTCGCCGCTTGATGATGTCTGCCGTGCTTGACCGAAGGATCTCCTCATCAAATATGTCATCCTCCTCATCTTTCTTCTTGTCTGCATCCGCATCTTTCATATCGGCATCGCCATCTCGGTCGGGCTTCTTGCCATCCCCGTCGCCCTGTTGTTGCTTCTTGTTCTGGTCTTCGCGCTCAAGATCATCGAGGTCTTCGAGGGTAGACATGGTGAGTATATGAAATTTGTAGACGGGTCAGAAATAACTGTATTTAAGGGGAATGACAGAATTATAAGGTTAGATGAAGGAGAAAAGCCGGGCGAAGTCGTGAGAGGAGGTCGATGTCGTTGCGGCGAAACAGGTTACCGCCGGCCGAGCTCTGGGCTCCAGGCGAGCCAACGCAAGCTCCCCTGCCTGGAGTGTCACGTGACACATTATCTTCTTGCATTATTACATCAGGCGCCAAGTATGAACAAACGAAACAAAATGAAACAGTATACGTATTCACAAGAGTTTACGTTCTGCGTATTTGTTTCTATTCGGTTAAGATAAAAGATGGAATCCATTTAACAGGAATTTAACAGGAATCAACTGTCGTGTCCATCAAGTATATTACGGCATCATATTCGCCCGTCTTCAAATATCAATGGGGTCGGGAATAGTCCCAAGATGGTCCAGAGCATTCTGGCGGCCGAGTTTGAGGAGTCGATACCGAGACACAAAGTCGTCATTGTTAACTGCAGCAACGTTGTTAGTTCACTAGTTCATCGCAGGCCGAGAAAGGAAAAAAAGAAAGAGAGAGAGAGAGAAACATAGGGATTGAGTATTCGGTCTTGAAGGAAAATGACTCAAAGGAGGAGGGTATAGAGGGGAGTCCGTACTGTAGCCACCACACATCCTTCGTTTGCCAGTGAACTGCGAGCGACCATGAAGCATTCGCCAGTTGTCGAAGACTAGAATCCAAGGTTCAGCATTTGGCTCATTACAAGTAGAGAAGTAAGCGTGGGAGGGTATGGTGAACGTACTAAGAGCAGTTCCCGGTTGAAGTTGTAGCCAAATCTCCATTTCAGGGCGATGAATAATTTCATTCCAATGCCTGGCAGCGGCGTACCACGCCCGCTGATAGCGAAATCCCCAATCTACCTTCGCGGCACGGTCATAGTTGTTCCATCGAACCTGATAGAGCATCCCCGTCCTTTGATTCCGTTCGAGGACCGGAGTAGGCCTACTAGGCTGGATGCAAACGTCTTCATTGCCGCTTGAATGGAATGGTTGCGGACACTTTACTAACGTCTTGCAATGGTTTGAATTCTCTTCCTGAATCATCCGGGCCGCCTTAAAACCATCAACCAGCAATGTGGCGCCACCTTCGCCTTCAGTGTGTGACAGGAGGTGAAACAATTGAAGCCTCGCTGGGTCCGTGAAATACGTGTTATCTGTATGGGCACCCAGAGCCTCCGATGTGTACGCGGTGTCCTTGAAAGTAAGGTCGGACGTGAAATCCCAAAATCCACCTGGAAGTTGTTAACCATGATAGGACACGAAATACAGATTTTACCGGGTTTCATACCATAGTGCGTATTTCTGATAAAAGAAATCCTCTCCAGTAATGCTTGGGTGGCTTCAGGCTCGACAGGCACGCCTTTGATCAGGCAGAAGCCCCATTTATACTAACAATGTTATGAGCTCCATGTTAACCATCAGAAGAGAAATAAGTCTGACTTACAATTTGTTCCAACCATTCTAAAACACTCTCTTCCTTGTCCATGACGTTTTCAAACAAGACTGACGGAAGAGATTCATAGTCTGATTTAACCGATTCAAAATCCCTGCCGAGTGACACTTCTGAGACCAATGCTCTTTTCTTTCAGGACCGGGCAACTCACCTGAAACGCAGAATCTGTCCTTCCCCCTTATCCGGTTGGGTTCCGTACCGATGAGCCTTTAGCCAACTGTACGTGTAGATACTTTCATGTTTATCAGACCCTGAAATTTGAAAAGAAAATTAGTGCTTGACTCATTGACTAGTGGTTTGCACCTACACTCTATACGGACAGTGTCCGGCGTGTAGGAGATGTGGGACGCTGTGACATCTGGAGGTATCTGATACAGAGGATCAGTTATAGATGTTACAGATCAGCAATTGAGGTAATTACCGAGAATGTGTCCACAGTTCGCTGCCTTGTCTCTGGGTGGATGCAATCAAGACATTGACAGTTGTCTCTGCAAGAGGATTGCGCTCGTTACTGTCATCTTCCATAACCTCATATGCAGGAGGTGAGCACAAACCTGAGCCAAAAGGATGGACTAATTTCATGTAGTTAGAAACAGCAGTTGCTCGACACAAGAAATTGAAGGTCCTCTTACTATTTCAACTTTCCAATAGGTTCGGCGTCCAGCTGTACAATATCGTCATTCTTCGTAGAATGTCGGTTATTGTTCCTACGAGAATAATGCTTATTGAACCTTCTTTTCTGAGGCTCTTCTTCGTTCTGAGGTGCAGCCATTGTAGAGTTTGCTCTACAGAGGGGTATCGTCCCGATACGATGATGGCTTTGGGGATGGCGTGTTGAAATCCCAACCGGACATTTTGGTCCCTAGCAGAGTTAGCCAGAGGTGATTTACCCTGAAAAGCCAGTTCTGGGAAGATCTATGGCTTATGGACCAAAATAACCGAGAATAAAAAAATGAATCAGGGTACCACTTACTAAAGTGTAATGCCGCTTTGTAGTTACAGATAGGAGAGCCCTCGATCCGCTGGGGTAACGTTACATGTTAGTAACAGTACTACTGGACAATGGATGCTCATGAGCCTTACGAAACATAGTGCCGGGCATAAAATGCCGGCAGCTGGAAGATTCTGTTCATTCTGATGTTATAAGAACCGCTGAGCGTTGGAGATACGTAGCAGGGATAAAATCAACTGTATGGAGTACGCACGGTCCTGCGGTGAAATATACTTGATCACGTGTCTGATATTTGACCCTCACGTTCCCAACAATATTTATCACAACACCGTCTTGCCGAATATATCTATTCTAATTTATGTAAAAATGGATTCCTTATAGAGTTTAGGTATTTGGGAAAGCCTTATTATTCAGTAGTGACGTTCGACCTGAAGTTGATCCCCTTTAAAGTGCTGTTGATCAAGAAATTCCATTTTACCGATATCAGCTTGGTTGTACGTCGTTTCAGTTATCTCGAGAATTGGTCATAAATACACATATCAAGCCACCAGCGAAGAAAAAAAGTGAGGGCCAAATATATGACCTGACTGCAACTGCATCTTCTCAAAGCTCTTCAATATGTTATCGAACTCAGTGCCGTAGTAGAGTAAAATATTAACAGAGAGCGCGAAGGGAGGCGATTCTCCTAAATTTCCTGATTCGTCTCCAAAGGTCCTCTGATATGGGATCAAAGCAGTCACAGTTTGCTCTTCCTTCCAACAACCTTGATAAGTGCGCGACCATTGCTCAGCACAACCTTGCCCTTGTCATTCTTTGTTACAAACCGGACTTCTTCGAAACCATCTTGGAAAGTTCCCATCCTCCAGACCTCTGTAGTGAGTTTATCACCAGGTCTCACTGGGGCGGAGAAGCGTGCTTGGAACTCTCTCAGGTTTTGAGGATCACTGCCACCGAGCTCCTTCAAAAGTCCATGTGCAGTGCTGTTCCAGCTAAATAGTCCATGAATGATAATACCTCCAAAGCCCATCTTCTGTCCAGGCTCTGGAGTCGCGTGAAGGGGGTTATAGTCGCCATTCAGACTTGTGACAGAAAGTCAGTTCTAGCTAAGTACTTGAAGGAGGGCGGGTGAAATCTTACCGGTACAGATGAGCAGTTTCGGGGCCTGTTTGGACAGAAAAGACAACATCAGGTGTCTTGCCTTCTGGCGGAGGATAGTTGACGGTGCTTGGTCCTATCGAGGAGACAACCTCGCTCAGTAAACACGAATGACGATAGGGTTCATTAAATGTGGCAATCCGGGGTTTACCTTTTGGCCCGCCCCAATTTCCTTGTCCGACAAAGAAACTGCTTCCGACTGCTTTAGAGTAGACCTCTCCGGTTTCCTTGTCCACGATAGACTGCTCCGTCTCGACAACAGAGCCCGCCTTGCCTTTATCATAAACACCAATTACCTTATTTCGGAGCTCGAATTTCCTGCCTTCACTGCTTGTGGGAAGGGGCTTGAAGATTGTGATTTTGCGTTGCCCGTCGACTACGCGACGAGAGTCAAATTCAGGTACACCGGGAATAGGATTGGACTTTTGTCGACTATAGAAGTCAATCACTTCTTGGTCCGCGAGCTTGAACGCTGTAGGAATATTAGAGAATAAGGCCTGTGAAATGGACAAGAGCAATCCTGCTTACGAAGAACAGTCGGATATGTTGGGAAAACGGCGAAGTTTGGGTGGAGTTCCTATAGTCTCCAGTCAATGTGAATCCTTGAAAGCTGCTTAAAAAAATAGGAAAGCAGACATAAAGAAAATGCAATTCATCGGCTGTGCACCCAATGCTATTTGCAAAGAGCAAGACGTCCCGTTTGAGCCAGGATATTTCCTTGGGAGGGTACTCGAAGCCAGCTCCAGGTCCGGACATTGTGATATGCTGCTGTTTGGGGGAGCTTAGGGTAGGGAATGATACAGTAGTCGAACAAGGTCAAGAATTTTTCATGCACTGTACTGTACAAAAGTACAAATGAAGAAGCGGAGCAGAGGAACTTGAGACGCCGATCACTAGTATTATTATGTGCAATCTGACAAGCTTAAAGTGCTACCTAGGTTCATGTATTTAGGCCAATGCACGGAGTAGCTAGTTTCCAGCGGGGCCGCTATCGGTAACGCAAAACCGAGGCAATTTCTTGAAAAAATGTGGGCCGCGGTCCATCTACCTCAGGAATTATCTGATTATCTGATCAGATCATACGGCAAATCCCAGTCCCGAAACCGTCACCACTGTTTTATGATTTTTTTTTTAAAATCTTACGCACGGAAATCATAAATTCTGATGCAAACACTTTGAGTTGATCATATCCAGCGTCGACTCGGGGTATCTACTTAAAATGTCGAGGAGCTTCTATGTTATCATCTCTTCAAGTCATCTCTCAACAATGAACACTGCGCCTCGTAATACCTTTCCTCACCTTCCAGAACGCCCAATAAAATGGAGATGAAAAATGAAAACAAACGAAAAAAAAAGGCCAAGAACAGCACTCAACGACCACTATGAAAACTGCCCAAGTGCAAAGTCATTTGACCTGGGCCATGGTAGGAATCGATCACCACAAGGGGACAAAGGTCTGACGCAAGCATGCCCAATAATGACGCGAGCAAAGGACCGCCATAATCAGGAAAAGAATTAGCACCTAAAGGAGTCAGCACCAGCGTATTAGAAGAACTGGGAAAATAACTCACATCTTGTACTCGCAGCTACCCTGGGAGAAGCGTGTCTCATCCAGAGTCTCAAAGACGTAGGAGATCTTTATGTCAAGGTCGCGCTTGTTCTTCGCATTTGGTTTATTCTCAAGGAAACCGCTCACGACTTCTTCTTCTTCCACAGTCAGGACGTCACGCAGATAGAAGACCGTCTGCTTCCAGTGGGTGTATTTGGCATGAGGCCCCGTGGAGAAACTGATTGGCTTGTGGCAGGCTGTGAACTGAATATCGAACCATGCAATTATAGCGTGGATAAAGTCGCTCCGCTTGCACGGAAGCGAGAACGGGACCTTGAAGGAGAGGTCGGCCGGAGTGACGGTGTAAAGGTCGAGGGTGAGGACCGGGCAGGGGTCAGTAACCAGCGCCTTCATCTCGACAGTGTCCACAAGCGGCTCGGTGAGAGCGACCTCCTTCATAGGACTGTAATCGAATCCGTACACGTTGTCCCAGACTGAAAAAGCTTAGCACCTGATCAGACCATGAGTTGCGTTTGGGGTTACCCACAGCCAATCTTGTCCTCTTTGTACTCCCCATCCTCGATTGCAGCCAAGTAAATGGTTGCCTTGTCAGGAAAGATCTTGCCACCGGGAGCCAAGTATTTGTCGCGCGCATAAAGCACAGTGTCCAGCATGCTCTCGTAGAGGAGGAAGTAACCCATCCATTCCGAGACGATGATGTCAACTTTGGGAAAGGGAAGGGTAACTTCTTCCATCTTTCCTTGAAGGAGGGTAATCTTGTCGGCCATGCCATTCACTTCGATAATCTCACGAGCCTTTTCAATGATTGAAGACATGTCCACGCCGATAACATGTTTCGCACCAGCCCGAACAGCGAACCTACCCACCGAGACTGGTCAGCCATGCTACTTTATTATATCACAATTCAGCAATAATCCGTACATGCTGAGAATTCCTGTTCCACATCCAACGTCTAGAACAATCTTATCTTTAAAAAGGTGTTTGTTCTGGTAGATAGCGTCGCGGTATGACTTGGTCCGGACTTCATCTTTCTATGGAAGAAAACCCTGATCAGCAAGTACATTAAACAGATTTTCAGACTTCATTCAACTTACAAGCATTTCTTCATGAATGCCTGCACAGGTTTTGGAACCCATCTGTTAGCAGACCTCTCCTCACAACTGGAGCGCGGGGACATTACCATGATGATCATAGCTTTGTGAACAGGCGTCAGTATCGATAGAAAGAATACCAGAGTATTCAAATTGTAGACATACCTGGTAAAGTAGCGGACTTCTGCATGGTCCGCTCCCACCATTCGATCAGCACTGCTGGAGATCCATGGGGATTCAGATTTCGCAGGTTTGTTCGTAGCTCCGTTCATGGCGACCACCCTCAGAATGTAGAAACCAAGAAGGTATAGGCAGGATATTAGATGAATACAGGAAGGAGTATTTGAAATGTAATCTCAGTTCTTCTCAGCCAAGAGAGTGAATGCTTCCAAAAGCAGAAAAGTTCTTTGATCAGTCTAAGCGACTTTTTTTTATTTTCTTACAAATCTGATAGCCAGCCCACTTCAGCATTGAGCCACTAGCACCAATGGGGTATTATATCACGTGATTCACTAGTCCCCCACAACCTGCGTCGACAGGGCCTTCACAGAATGCACGTAAATTTGGTTAGTTTGCTAGGTATGCTGCTTTTTGTAACTCGTCTAAATTTTACTAGCCGGGACCCTTATATGCAAATACCTTATGATTACTTAGTAAGATGGCTCCAAATTAGAAACAATGAAGGTGATAATAGGCTTAGTATCGGAGGATATGAGTAAATATAGTCGAATAAAGTCACCTTCAGTAAATTTACAACTTCACATGTCAAGAAGTGCAGATTCGACCAGGAGACCTTGCTGGCATCAATTGAGGTGCACTGTAGCTTACCAATTCGGTATGGTAAATCCAGATCTGGATCGTCGCTGTCTGCAGTATTATTGCCGCTCTTCTCCGCCTAGCAAGCACGCTCCTTGAATGTTCCTCGAACACAACGCTGTACAGCAACAGGGTCACGATGTTTGCATCTAGGGGCATTTCAAGGTTATCCGGTCTTTTAATACCATTAATATTAGCATTCTTTATTGGAGAGTCATTGGCTTCTCTGGGAGATAGACTACCTGACTTCAAAGAATGCGTTAAGGTAATCGATTACCCCAGATCCATTCCCAGGGAGGAGGGCTGACAATTTCAAGGTTTGCGAGGCCGAGAACTGCCAGGACGGCAACTCTGTTCTTCGTAAGTTGAAATATCTCTATTGAAGTATATATCTACCTAGTCGCTAACAAATCCCCTCCTTTGGTAGCAATTTACCTCCGTCTTCTGTTATGGACTTGCCCGGCCGAATGCGACTATACCTGCCAGCATGTTATCACCGACCGCAGGGTCTCCCGTGACCCTCCTATGCTCAACCCTGTAGTGCAGTTCCATGGAAAGTGGCCGTTCTACAGGGTCCTCGGCATACAGGAAGTGTTCTCTGTTCTTTTCTCTTTTTTCAACTTCCTTGCTCATTATTACGGCCTTGCGAAGATTCGAGAGTCCATCCCGCCCTCATACTCTCTGCGGAGGTACTATCTGGGTTTTGGATATTGTGGGCTGGCAAGCTGGACATTTAGCATGTTGTTCCACACGAGGGATTTTCCTTTGACCGAGAAACTGGATTATTTTGCGGCGGGTGCGAGTGTCCTCTACGGTCTTTTTCTGGCAGTCATCCGGATCTTCCGGCTTGACAAACAGCATCCACGGTACAAACCAACTCTCCGTCGTTTCTGGACGACACTCTGTATCGGTCTGTATGTCGCCCACGTCTCCTACCTCAGTTTCTGGTCGTGGGACTATACCTACAACATGGCTGCCAACGTCGTCGTGGGCGTCATTCAAAATCTACTCTGGACCTGGTTCAGTGTAGCCAGATACACAAAGTACTCTCAGTCATGGACCGCCTGGCCTGGAATGATCGTCGCTTGGATCATGCTGGCAATGAGTCTTGAACTGTTGGATTTCCCTCCTTGGTGGAGACTGATTGATGCACACAGTCTTTGGCATCTCGGGACAGTTGTGCCGACAGCGTGGTGGTACTCGTGAGTCTTTTCTGTGAGGCTTCTTGATTCTTGACGTCAACTGACTGCGGCCAGGTTCCTCGTCAAAGATGCACAGGACGATATCACGGCAGAAAGATTGAAAGCTTGACCTCGGCCACTCTTTCTGGGCGTCCATTCCTATACTAAGGCATTATATCTACGACTGATGACATGTATACTATATTGAGACGTAGAGGGCTCTACAAGAGCTATTGTCCCTAGTCAAGCGACCAGAATGCAAGTGTCATCCGTGTCCTTGGTGATATTACGGCGATTCCGGCCTAGCAGTGTCAGGCGCCTGTGCTGGTTAGATTAATTTGGTATTATTTGCCTGCCCTGGAACAGGAACGAAAGCTTGAACGAAAGCTTAGTGGAGCGGTCAAGGTTGCGGGCCATGCTGCCACTCCCGGTTGACCCCGCCAATACTGTTTGCCCGCCGGGTGCACCGCCCAGAGCCAGAGCTGCTGTTGCAGCGTAACGTTCCACATCATTCCACCCGCATACTTCTTTTTACTTTCTGGGATTCTTTCCATTTCTTTCGCCTGTCTGCTTTGCTTTGCCCTTCTATATACCGTCGTGGTCCATCTGTTCTCAATACCTGTCAGGCCAGTTTCCCTCAGTGTGCATTATTACCTAGCTTCGCGCCGCAATGGCGTCTCCGGCTATTCGTAAGGCTATCTCGGAGGCCGCTCTGAAATATGTGAAACCGGATGGAAAAGTTTTCGAATATGGCACCGCAGGGGTAAGATATGACTTGGATATTTGATCGAAGTGCAGGACAGCTGATTTGCTTTCTCATAGTTTCGCATGAAAGCGTGAGTATCTTCTCCCCACGCATTCTGCCCCGCGCTCGTCGTTCCTGACTTGGACCCCGCATCCGCGAACAGCGACCTCCTCAACACCGTAGTCTTCGCTGTAGGCCTTCTCGCTGGTCTTCGTTCGAGGAAACTGAATGGGCAATGGATTGGTGTTATGGTTACTGCCAGCCACAACCCGGCGGATGACAATGGAGTCAAGCTGATCGATCCCATGGTTGGTGATCTTTTGTTCCCAAGCACCTGCCACAAGGAATGCTGACGCATGAAATTCCATAGGGTGAAATGCTGGAAGTAAGGCTCGAAAAAGGATAACTGACTGTCAGGTTCAGTTCTTAACTCCTGTCGCAGGCTGAATGGGAGGCATATGCTACGAAACTCGCAAACGCTCCTCTTGAAAACATTGGAGATGTCTACGACGAACTGATCAGGGAGATTGATATCAAAATGGACAATCCTGCTCGTGTGGTCTTTGCACGGGACACTCGCGCGTCTGGCTCTCGCCTTGTCGGTGTTCTGAATGTTGCGCTTAGTGCGACGAACGTGGAATTCATCGACTTCAAATACTTGACGACCCCGCAGCTTCACTACATTGTTCGCTGCAAAAACACTTTGGGTACACAGTACGAATACGGCGAGCCCACTGAGCAGGGTTATTATGAGAAACTTGCGGAAGCTTTCAAGAGGGTTATGAAGGGTGCGAAAGTCCAGGGATCTCTTACTGTCGATTGCGCCAACGGTGTTGGTGGCCCCAAGCTGCGGGAGCTTATCAAATATCTCCCACCTGCAGACCAAGGAGGTATCGACATCAAGGTCGTCAACGACGATGTCATTAACCCTGACAGCCTGAACTTTGAAGTAAGTTTCGTTAGTGGTAGCTGGAGCTAGGATCTGACCAAGCTTACCAATGTAATCCAGTGTGGCGCGGATTTCGTCAAGACAAAGCAACGCGCTCCGCCATCGTCCAAGGCAGCACCGCTCGATCGTTGCGCCTCTCTGGATGGAGACGCCGATCGCCTGATCTACTACTTCATTGACGAGAACAACGTCTTCAGACTTTTGGATGGAGACCGCATTGCAACCCTGGCCGCTTCTTTCATTGGTGATCTGGCCCGCAGTGCCGGAATTGCGCAGAAGCTGAAGATCGGCGTCATCCAGACAGCATATGCAAACGGCTCTAGCACTGATTACATTGAGAAGGT